TTTTCATGTTGGGGTTCTCAAAGCACAGCATTCACTTGTTATTGACCAAGTTACTTGTTACTTAGCAGTTTTTGCATCCGCTATTGAAATCTCTGATTCAAATGCAGAAAGCCAAGTAGCACATAGTCATTATGGTCAAAGTTTATTCAGCGGGGGCTCAGCCAAACTGCTTGAAAATTTGCAAGATTCTACATCCGGGGTAGGCAAACTTCGACCCTCCAACTGTGCTGTAGTGCCATGGGGCTTTCCAAGGCTCTGACAGCAACAAGAATGACTTCCAGAGGCAGATGTATAATGGGATTAGTAGTTTCACAGCTAGAGGGCTGAAGCCTGGTTACCCCTGATATAGAAGCTTGCAATTTTTTACAAAAAGTTGAGTTACCAGTGTTCTATATTTTAGACTTTTTGAACCTAAAGTCCCATTAAAGTCAGCAGGATTCTACGTCAGGCTCCAAGAAAGTGGGTGTTACAAAGTAGCAAGCAATGCAAAATGGTGCAGAATGGTTTAGGATGCTCCTGGCAGCCCGGCCTTATGAGATGACGGGACCAAAAAGAGATTGAAAAGCTGGAATTCAGTATGGGAGAATTAGACAAAAAAAAACATAATTAGCTTCATGCAAACCTAGAGCTTCCTTATTTGTAAACCTTTCTGGGGAAAACTGTATTTCCATTAGTTATGGGGGGTGGGGGAACGGAGGGAGCTTCTTTGTTGTGCTCAGATAGCAGCAGTAGGAATCATAAGAGGCCGAGCCAAAATTTGTGCCAGAGCTAATATTCAATTTGGGCCTGGCAGGTGACAGGAACCTGCATGTGGGAAGGTCCTTAGAGCAGAAGACAAAGGTGCACAAGAAGTGTGAAAGTCTCATTTCAAAAATGTTCTAGAAGCTTGGTCCTTTGGAGGTCAAATGGCTCCCAGGAGCTGGGAAACTGCCAGAACAACACCCACATTTAGATTCTGCTTGTTCATCAAAGTTGAAATGTACCTGTTTATATATTAAATCAAAACAACACTATTCCCTTAGCAAAGAAATCCCACATTAGGAGGAGCTGTCAGCTGAACAAGTAACTCAATGGGGGTGATTTACTAACCTAAACACACACACACACCAGGTGCGTGTGATTTTCACACAGCAAAACGTATTTATCAACCAAAAAGTCTCTAAAAGCATATTTCCACTAATGCCATATATGGAAAAATCATGCACAGGATGCATATATAATGCTGCTTCACAGTTTAGACAAAAATGGTTAGCTCATGCATTTACATTCCTGCATTCATCAACGCAAGCAACACAACATAGAGCTAATTTACACAACATCACCTTGCAAATTGATGCTTGGCTTTGCACAACACACCTGCTGGGTGTGTACACCAATAGATCATGCTGGGAGGGAACACACTACAGAGGTGTATACTTGTTCGTGGCGTGTTTATAAGGTTAGTAAATCAACCCCAATGAGTATATAATGTATCAAATATAGTATTTTTTATTAACATGGAAGTAGGGGATAGTGTTGTTTTGATTACATGTTTTACAAACCCAGTAGCTGAATTCATATAGTTTATACATTTGTTACTTATTGCAAAACTCCTTCTCCCCCGCTTGTTTATACTGTTTATATTTTACCCTTCCTGGCTCCTCACTTCCCCTTCATCTTTCCGTTTTCATCATGACCTTATTTTAGTAATTTAATGTTAAGGGCACTTTATTATTATAATTACAACAGCTTTCTTTTTTTTTTTTAAATGACTCATTCTCCATGTGACATGCAATAACTCAACAGGAAACAATGTCTTGTTAAAGTGACAAATGTTCTGTGAGGTTGTGGTATTATTTTCCTCTTGCGGTAGAACAACCCTCTTATATTACACATGCCTGAGAACACAACATGTGAGAAGAGGAATCTGAGTCTCTATTCCGGGGTGTAGCAATGAGGACATCATGATTTCCAGAATTATCCAAGCACAAGTTTTAGTCTTAGTTGTACACGTGTGGTCTGAGTGTGAGGCTTCACATGTATCATTGTCCATCCTCATACACCAACCATAGGAACGTATGTCACTATCTGTGGGCTACGGTCTCAAACGGCATGCGGTAATCATGTGATTACTCAGATGTTCCAGTTCCATCTCTCTAAGCTATGTGTGTGTATAGGATATCGGGCTCATCAGATGACTGTTTTCAAACTCATTGTTATCATGCTCATTATATAAAATGAGAAGGTGTTCTGTGATCGGACAAGGGGTATAGGAGAGGAGGATGAAAGTCATGGCCTCCCCTTAGACAATCACAGAATGTCTTGTATTCTGACAAAAGAAAATGTTTTATGAGTGGAGGAAGGGAGATGGAAGGAGAAGTGCAAGTGTTCTTTACAACATCATAAATGGTCATTTATTTCTACAAAGCAAATGTCCAATAAAACCTTTTTCTGCTTTAAGTCAGTGAAATAAATTTCATGTGCAGATAAACAAAAGGTTTATAAAGTCCAACAGGGTTATTCACAAAGCTGCACTACCCAGCCGAAGTGAAGTGAGCTGAACACTGTTCGGCTATTTACTTATGACTTCTACGGCTGATTTCAGTCATACATCGGCCCAAATCAGCTGTACATCGGCTGCCTTCGGCCAGCTGAACATGCTCTGCATGTTCGGCTGAGCCGAAGTGCAGAAGTACTTTGATTCAGCCGATCCAACATCTGGATCAGCTGAGCCAAAGCTCCAACAGCTCAGTCGCTGCCGCTCACTCCTATTCTCATAGGGGCCAAAGGGCAGTGAGTAAATAGCCGCTCGGCTATTCTGCTCGGTACCTCCGTGGTACCGACCAGAATAAAAAATCGGTGAAGAGAATGTAAAACAAAAAAAGCAGCAAAATGATTTTAAAAATGATAATAAATAGGAAAATTAGAAATAAAATTAAAATAGTTTGGCCGTCCTTTCTCCACGCTTAGGCTGTCACTTCGGCTCAGTCGAGCCGAAGCATATGCCTTTGGTTCGGCTGAGATGCTTGGCCGCCTTCGGCTGCTGTACTGGCTATTGTGAATTTGCCTGTACAGCAACCTTTCAGTTGGATTGAACCGCAGGGTAGAGACGGCCGAAGAGGCCGAGGATCAGCCGAAGCTACAGCTGTATCCTTCGGTTCTTTAGTGAATAACCCCCTAAGAGTTTGTTTTGTTTAGAAAGCAACCACAGCTTGAGTAGAGAAGCCAGTCCAGAATGCTGAAGAGAAGGACCTGCACTCTCTGTATGGAACCAGTGTTCTCTTTGCAGGGGTCTGGCACTCCCCAGCTGAGTCAGAGGTAGAGCTGTCCAATCAGCAGGAAGAATGAGATTTAATGATTTCTATATTTGTCCTCATTGGGGGACATTTTCCCTCACTTCCTTTTCTGATGAAACCCAAAGCACTGCAGCAAGCTGGACTTCCTGTTTTCTCTCTTGGGAGAAAATTCTCCATATATTTCTTCAGAAAAAAAAATGGTAAGGATACAGTGGCCTTTCTAAAGTAATATATGGAAATATATAAGAAAAAACTAACATAATGATGTATAGTATATAGTAGGTCACATAGAACATATCACTAGGGATGCTAACTGGTCTGTTTGTTCCCTTTTCTGCAGGGTTTATAACCCACACAACTGTCTGAATATGTGGCTCATATTGATTCTTGTAAGCTTTGCCACTTCTACCTCCTGCCAAACTTACCCGCCACTCACCAACGCCTGCCGGCCTGCCAAGAAACCAGAATGCGATAAAGTCCATGCTGTCCCTGGTCACAATCTTATCGGCCAAGGCTTTGACATTGTGACCATGAAGCAGACAAAGGCTCACCTGGTAGATATCCAGAGGTTTTCTACAAAGGACAACACCTGCACCGTCTGTCACAACCCGTACATGAACAAAGCCTGGCAGAAGCTTCCCCTCGCGATGGCTGAGTGGAGGACCCAGTCATACTGTTCTCGGAAAATCAGCAGCGAGGTCTCCCGATCTTCTACATCGCTGGCTGAGGAAGCTGCATCAGAGGTGAAGAATGATTGGGAAGCTGGTCTAGAGCTTCACCACAAGGGGGTGGATGCCAAGCTGGTAATGGCTGGTTCCCAGTCCCAGATGGCACAATTTGGTCAGAGTAAGACCAGCACAGACCGTTACACCTTTATTAGGCACCAACTGAGTTGTGCCTATTACAGGTATGTCATCGAATATAACATGTATTGTCATTATATAACCTGTGAAAGTAAAACGTTCCTCCATTCACTACTTTGAAAGATCCGTCCATCAGCTACAAAGTTATTTTGCTTTGAATAAAAAAGATTCTGTCAATTTGTCCAATGCATTACCTAGATGGCCAATCAGCTGTCCTGAACAAACAGTCTGGGCAACATCCAAACTGCTATCTTCATACAAAGGAACAGGATGCTCCTGATACAAGCATTAAATTGGTGTGTCTCATATCAACTCCTATTAGAATAAATGACTATCACACCCCCCACCCCATCTCAGTATACGTTTAGCTGAACAGCCAGGGGGTCGGGGCACAGTCAGACATTAAACATCTCTGACAAAGAACATATCTGAAAAAGTATTTGGGCACTTTTAGAAGTGACACTTTAAAGGAGAACTATGAGGTGAGTAAAAATGACTCAGCCTCATAGTTCGAATCAACGTGTGACAATGAAAGTGTCACACGTCGGCTCTATAGATCGGGAACTGAGCGAACACATACCATCGCTCGCTCACTTCTCCATCCTGTGCCTGCAGAGAGCCGTGACTGTCACTCATGGCTCCCTGCAGGGATTTCCCCCCTCCCCGCTCAGATCCTCCAGCGCTGACTGGTGGAACGGACGAGGACGGGGCGGGTACAGCTGGTTCTGCCTCTAGATAGGCAGAGCCAGCTGTCAATCACGCAGCTGGGTGGATCCAGACAGTTATGTCGGGATCCGTCCCGGCTGCGGCGTCTCAGTATACCGCAAGCTGTAGCTCGCTATATACTGAGCTTTGGGTGACGGGAGGACGCCAATTTGTGATTTTCACAGGGAAACTCTGCTGCCAGACTCATCCACCTTACCAACCGATCAGCGTCCACCAACCCCCTCTGCCATTCGCTTCACTGGCTCCCACTTGCCCAATGTATACAATTCTAAATACTAACAATAACCTACAAAGCCATCTACAAATCCGCCCCAACCTACATCACCGACCTCATCTCAAAATATCACCCAAACCGCCCCCTTTGCTCCACCCAAGACCCCCTGCTCTCCATCTCTCTTGTCATCTCCTCGCATGCTCGCCTCCAGGATTTTTCCAGAGTGTTTCCCATCCTCTGGAACGCTCTACCCCAATCTGTCGGCTTATCTCCTACTCTGTCCACCTTTAGGGGATCCATGAAAACTCATCTCTTCCTCCTCCTTGAAACCCAAAGCACTGCAGCAAGCTGGACTTCCTGTTTTCTCTCTTGGGAGAAAATTCTCCATATATTTCTTCAGAAAAAAAAATGGTAAGGATACAGTGGCCTTTCTAAAGTAATATATGGAAATATATAAGAAAAAACTAACATAATGATGTATAGTATATAGTAGGTCACATAGAACATATCACTAGGGATGCTAACTGGTCTGTTTGTTCCCTTTTCTGCAGGGTTTATAACCCACACAACTGTCTGAATATGTGGCTCATATTGATTCTTGTAAGCTTTGCCACTTCTACCTCCTGCCAAACTTACCCGCCACTCACCAACGCCTGCCGGCCTGCCAAGAAACCAGAATGCGATAAAGTCCATGCTGTCCCTGGTCACAATCTTATCGGCCAAGGCTTTGACATTGTGACCATGAAGCAGACAAAGGCTCACCTGGTAGATATCCAGAGGTTTTCTACAAAGGACAACACCTGCACCGTCTGTCACAACCCGTACATGAACAAAGCCTGGCAGAAGCTTCCCCTCGCGATGGCTGAGTGGAGGACCCAGTCATACTGTTCTCGGAAAATCAGCAGCGAGGTCTCCCGATCTTCTACATCGCTGGCTGAGGAAGCTGCATCAGAGGTGAAGAATGATTGGGAAGCTGGTCTAGAGCTTCACCACAAGGGGGTGGATGCCAAGCTGGTAATGGCTGGTTCCCAGTCCCAGATGGCACAATTTGGTCAGAGTAAGACCAGCACAGACCGTTACACCTTTATTAGGCACCAACTGAGTTGTGCCTATTACAGGTATGTCATCGAATATAACATGTATTGTCATTATATAACCTGTGAAAGTAAAACGTTCCTCCATTCACTACTTTGAAAGATCCGTCCATCAGCTACAAAGTTATTTTGCTTTGAATAAAAAAGATTCTGTCAATTTGTCCAATGCATTACCTAGATGGCCAATCAGCTGTCCTGAACAAACAGTCTGGGCAACATCCAAACTGCTATCTTCATACAAAGGAACAGGATGCTCCTGATACAAGCATTAAATTGGTGTGTCTCATATCAACTCCTATTAGAATAAATGACTATCACACCCCCCACCCCATCTCAGTATACGTTTAGCTGAACAGCCAGGGGGTCGGGGCACAGTCAGACATTAAACATCTCTGACAAAGAACATATCTGAAAAAGTATTTGGGCACTTTTAGAAGTGACACTTTAAAGGAGAACTATGAGGTGAGTAAAAATGACTCAGCCTCATAGTTCGAATCAACGTGTGACAATGAAAGTGTCACACGTCGGCTCTATAGATCGGGAACTGAGCGAACACATACCATCGCTCGCTCACTTCTCCATCCTGTGCCTGCAGAGAGCCGTGACTGTCACTCATGGCTCCCTGCAGGGATTTCCCCCCTCCCCGCTCAGATCCTCCAGCGCTGACTGGTGGAACGGACGAGGACGGGGCGGGTACAGCTGGTTCTGCCTCTAGATAGGCAGAGCCAGCTGTCAATCACGCAGCTGGGTGGATCCAGACAGTTATGTCGGGATCCGTCCCGGCTGCGGCGTCTCAGTATACCGCAAGCTGTAGCTCGCTATATACTGAGCTTTGGGTGACGGGAGGACGCCAATTTGTGATTTTCACAGGGAAACTCTGCTGCCAGACTCATCCACCTTACCAACCGATCAGCGTCCACCAACCCCCTCTGCCATTCGCTTCACTGGCTCCCACTTGCCCAATGTATACAATTCTAAATACTAACAATAACCTACAAAGCCATCTACAAATCCGCCCCAACCTACATCACCGACCTCATCTCAAAATATCACCCAAACCGCCCCCTTTGCTCCACCCAAGACCCCCTGCTCTCCATCTCTCTTGTCATCTCCTCGCATGCTCGCCTCCAGGATTTTTCCAGAGTGTTTCCCATCCTCTGGAACGCTCTACCCCAATCTGTCGGCTTATCTCCTACTCTGTCCACCTTTAGGGGATCCATGAAAACTCATCTCTTCCTCCTCCATATATCCGTCCTTTCAGTTCTTCCATTAAATCATCCCAAACAGTTATTACCTTTTGTATCATTTGCCCCTCCTACTAGATTGTAAGCTGTGGCCCGCCTAATCCTATTGTCCTGAAATTGTATCATTAATTGTATTGTCTCCCTTTTTTGTTTTGGAAAGCGTTGGCGCTATATAAATCCTGTATATTAATAACAGCAAAAAATAGTTCATGTTTTTATCTTGAAACTCTTCATAAATGTGTCTCTTTACCAGCTTCCGGCTTACACACCTCCCTCTTCTGAGCAAAGATCTGAGACAGGCCTTGAAATCTCTGCCACCAACTTATGATGCCAAGACTCATGCTCTCTACAGAAATATAATTAGCATCTACGGGACTCATTATATCAACCAAGCGGATGTAGGCGGGCAAGTGGTAGAGGTCAACGCCATTAAGGCCTGCCAAATCTCCATGGATGGCATGTCTGTGGATGAGCTGAAGGATTGTCTTAACATTGAGGCCTCGGTCGCTGTCACTGGGAAAGCTGAAGCAAGCGCCAAAGCTAGCGCCTGCAAGGAACAAAGCCAAAAATCCAACAAGGGGGAGAGTTTCCACCAGACGTTCAATGAGAAAAGTTGGGAGGTGAGTTGTACAACAGAAATGCATCATAGATTAAGTTGTGTATATATGTATATATGTCTCCAGACCTAAACCCTATTGAACATCTGTGGGGCATCCTCAAACGGAAGGTGGAGGAGCGCAAGGTCTCTAACATCCACCAGCTCCATGATGTCGTCATGGAGGAGTGGAAGAGGACTCCAGTGGCGACCTGTGAAGCTCTGGTGAACTCCATGCCCAAGAGGGTTAAGGCAGTGCTGGAAAATAATGATGGCCACACAAAATATTGACACTTTGGGCCCAATTTGGACATTTTCACTTTTACTCACTTTTGTTGCCAGCGGTTTAGACATTAATGCCTGTGTGTTGAGTTATTTTGAGGGGACAGCAAATGTACACTGACATACAAGCTGTACACTCACTACTTTACATTGTAGCAAAGTGTCATCACATGAAATGATATCATAAAATATTTACAAAGATGTGAGGGGTGAGATACTGTATATTGTAGCAGAGCATCCCAGAGCGAACCTGGGAAAGTCTTGTTCGGAGTTTATAGGTCTCCCAGGTTCCTCTCCTATACATTTAGGGATTGCTGATCCTCTCTTCACTGGCAATTTAATCTCACCTAGAGCCTGTACTCAGAGCTCTCGGCCTGGGGATCAGACAAGTCCTGTCTGAGGGAGCTGCAAGGTTGGTGAAAACTAGCAAACGGTGTATGTGGAGGGTGACCAGCGGTAGGCCTGCTCAGCCTGTTAGTTAGGACCAATATCTTTTGTGTATGAAGTTAGTGCCGGGGTACGGTGGGATCCGGGGGGCGCAAAAATGCACCTTGCCCACCTTGACTAGAATCCTAGCACCGGCCCTGGCTAGGTTTTATTTTTGTTAGTTTCTTGTGGACCCCTGTACAGCACCTGTGAATGCTCTTGTAATCATCACTAATAAACACTGCACTGTTTGCCATTACTCCCTTGGATTTGGTATCTGTGCCCAAGAGACTGCTTATTCCCAGGGAGCTTATGTACCAGCTACCGATCGCCTGCTTACAATATATAAAACCCTTAAAACCTTGGTTCTCAACTGGTGGGTCGTGACCCAAAAGTGGGTCGCGACCACGTGTTCAGTGGGTCGCTGCATGCCTTTTACTTTTCTAGGCCAGAGGCTCCCCAGCTTCTTCCTAGCGCAACACAATCAATTCATGCACCAAGCAGCATTCAAAATATCAGCTTGAGGTGGGGTGGGCTGGAGCTATGGCCGTGAGGGAGCTCCATCCATATGTGCATTGCTTAGAGCTCCCTCGCATGTCCTATAAAGCTGCCTGGACCGGAGTGACATCACATTGTGGCTCCCGAGACCTCTACAGGACATGCAAGGGAGCTGTACAAGCAATGCACATATGGATGGCGCTACAGCAGAGCAGCCCACACTGGACCCCAGCCTGAGGATCCACTCCAGTTCTCATAAATTAGGGAGACCAGGTGTATCTTAAAAAAATAAATACATTTTATTGGGAGTGTGTATGCGAGTGTGTGAGATTGAGTCTGGTTGTGTGTGCCTGTCAGTGTTTTGGAGAGCTGGTTCCCACTAGTACAGTGTGTTAACCACACAATCTCATGCGAATAATGCACTGCACCATGCAGTTGCACCTACTGTTCGTTCTGGTGTGGGAGCCCGCACAGGAAAACGTGGTATCGCAATGCCATGTGTTCCATTGCAGTGTGACTTGGGTCACAACTTAATGACCAAGGACAAAGGTGGGCCCTGAGGTTACACAGGTTGAGAACCACTGCCTTAAATATATACGGTTGTATTTAAACTTCCCGACCCCAAGTCAATATCTTATGTCATCCCCTTGTTCCTCAATCAACTGGCTAGGCTTAGTATCACACTAACAAGACAAGACGTCATAGACGCACAAGGCACTTTCTGCCTGTGAAGACTACAGAGACAGTGTGCCAAGTCTACTTTAGTATCCTGGAATACACTTCTGGAGGAGAAGGACACATTGTCCTCTTATGTTCCCAGCAGTTCGGTTCTAGGTGTACAGAACCAGAATGGAGGAACTTTAAGTACACAGTAGAATATACCAGCAATGGAAACACACAACCTGTACAAGGGGAAGCAACAATGAGGACCCAGCCACATTGCCTCAAAATAGTATGAGCAACAATGAGGGCCCAATCAAATTGCTCTGGCAAGGAAAGGGTGGCAGTAGCTTAGAGCTATTTGTTATACATAGGAATTTGTAACTGACAATCAGTTGGCTGTATGACACTCATGGGTGCCCTGCTTCTCTAGCCCAAGGGTCATATTAGAGCTTAATAAACCCAGCTCCGCATATTGCTCCCTTTTACTAAAATTGTTTTCATTTCATTAATTTTAGGTAAGAGGAGGAAAGATCACATTTGAGCAGCTCTCCTTTGATGTAAAGAGTGGAGGTGATGCAGCCTCTTTCCAGACCTGGATGGACAGCCTAAAAATCAACCCCGATATCGTAACCTACTCTCTGGAGCCCATCCACAACCTGGTTCGATTCAAAGGACCTCGGCGAGAGAACCTACGGAACGCCATCAGTGAATATATCATGGAGAAGGCGCTGAGAAAGAACTGCTCATGCCCAGGGGGTTCACTGTTGAGTCCCGGTAAAGAGTGCAATTGCATTTGTCCTGGTGGTCAAGGTAAAAATATAAATTGTTGCCCCTCAAAGAGGGGACTTGCCAAAGTGGTGGTCACTGTAAAAAAAGCCTCAGGCCTGTGGGGTGACCACACTACGAGGACTGATGCCTTTGTGAAAATAAGTGTTGGGTTGGTTTCTGCTCAGACGCAGACCATATGGAACGATGACAATCCAAACTGGAACATGCGGTTGGACCTCGGGCTTTTGGAGCTGAGTTCAGTGACCAGCTTGAAGGTGGAAGTTTGGGATGAGGATAATAAATATGACGATGATCTGCTTGGAACATGTCAAAAATCAATCAACAGTGGACAGAAGGATGAGGTTTGTTACCTTAACCATGGCAGTGTGTCCTTTACAGTGAGTACACAATGCGTCCCTCACCTGACTGGACCCCTCTGTAGAGACTATGCTCCTTCCACCAGTTAGACTTCTAAGGCCTCATTCACAGTGCGTTAACTCGGGGTGTACATGTCCGTGCGGCGTGCACGCTCCTATCAGGCCATTCCCAGGAGGGACAGATGCTGCGTGTAGCAGCCTGTTCTTCCCTATGGGAGGACACAGCCGTACACTGTCATACGCTCATCCGAACTGCACATCCATGCGGGTCCGGGTGTCTGTACTTGGACGCAGACAGGATCATGCGTATGACAGCATACGGCCGCATCCTCCCATAGGGAAGAACAGGCAGCTACACGCAGCACCTGTCCCTCCCGGCAATGGCCCGATGCAGGCGTGCACACCGCACAGACGTGTATGCCCCAAGTTAGCGCAGTGTGAATGAGACCTGATAGTCAGGTTAGAGTTCTATAGTCAAGGCGCTTTTGTAACTAATCACAAAGAAGGACCAATCTGTCATTTCCAGGAATGAAAGTTATTACTGAGCGCTCAACTGAGCGCCTCGAAGCAGCTAGGTCCTAAAATATACTGGGTGTGCTTATTATTTATTTGTTTAATGATTTATTTGCACATTAAATATATTTGAGCTTTGACATATTGTATTGTTTGCTTATTTTTAAAGCTGAAGTCAAAGCAAGCAGCTAAATACAGAGATAAAATAACATCAGTAAAATGTTTTACCTCCAAAAGGACGACAGAAAACAATAAAAGGCTGTGAAAATAGGGGGGTGACGGTAATGAGGTCTGGGCACCCCAGTACTAATAAGAGAACCCTATCAGTTGTGGAAGTTCATCACTTCTAGTTATAATTGCATCAGGCTGTCAATGACACAGGTGTGTTTACTTTTGTTTAGGCCAGGGATGGCCAAACTCCGGCCCTCCAGCTGTGGTGAAACTACAAATCCCATGAAGCAACTCTCTCCGGGAGTCATGTCTGTGGCTGTGAGAATCTTGCAAAGTCTCATGGGATTCGTAGTTCCACCACAGCTGGAGGGTCGCAGTTTGGCCATCCCTGGTTTAGAACATCTTCAAACTCCAGAGCACCAGATATCTGGTTTATAGCCCTTGCAATTAGGCCCGGAGTTGGTTGTTCAGGTTTATCTGTTTCTGGGTACTCACCATAAAACCCTAATGAGATATCTTAAATCAATAAGCCAGAATACCTTATCCCTGGGCAGCCTCAGTTATTTCCCCAAAGGACGGCAACTGACCCTCATCTCACCTCTGCCAGTAACCATAGGTTCTACATTTTACTCTTGGACCTGGGGGTGATATATTAATTAGGAATTCACCAATACCGGTATTGGGTACCAGTACTTCCGGTAGCATGGACCCGGCTTCCTGGCAATCAGTAAGCCCGGGAGCATGTCATTACCCGCTGCCTGACTTCTTGATTGCCCGGAAAGCCGGCTCCATGCTGTTTGGCCGGCTTGATGCTGATTGGTCAGGAAGCCGTCTTCACAGCCAGTCAACATGGAGCCAGCTAATCAGGAAGCCGGGAGAGGTGTCATTACCCGTGGCCCGGCTTCCTGATTGGCCAAAAAAGCCAGCTCCATGCTGTTTGGACGGCTCGATGCTGATTGGCTGGAAAGCCATCTGGCTTCCCGGCAAATCAGCATCAAGCCGGCCAAACAGCATGGAGACGGCTTCCCAGCCAATCTGGAAGCCGGGTGGTGAGTCATTACCAGCAGCCCGGCTTCCTGGTTGGCCTGGAAGCCGGCTCCATGTTCCCTGGTGGCACTGCTGGTCAGATGGCAGTTCCGGTAGCGGGATAAGTATCTGAGCATTTGGGCGAGGACAAGTACTTGCCCAAATACTCGGTATCAGCACCGATACCGATACTAGTATCAGTATCGGTGCATCCCTAAAATTAATTATATATATAGCTGAACCCGGCTGGGATATGTAGGGAGGAATCCATCATTGAACTTCATGGCCTGGAGCGAGGACAAAAAGAGAACAAGGTATTAAGGGGGGGGCAGCCTTTATGAGGGCTAAAGAGCCATAGTCCCCTTCAGCGATAGGCAGATAGGCATACACCACAGGAATGTCAAGTTTGATAACTATACAAAGTTAATTTAATAACACAATAATCTATGGTTGATCAGGTGGTAATATGATAATATATAGAAAAATGGCTATTGTTGCGAAACTGTCAGTTTGGAAGAGACGGGGGGGAAGGTCATTAAGTACTCAGCCCCCCTGCTTCACCCTCCCTTACCGTTCCTGATTGGGTGGGGAGCTATCTCACTGACATCCCTTAGAGGGACACAAAAAGCTGCTGCCCAAGACAGTTGACACCACTCGCTCCCACAAGCTCGCTCCCGGGATGGACTACAATCTCAATACAAATTAATAAACTAAACATGAGATTGTAGTCCATCCCGGGGGGGGAGCTTGGAGAGGTGACTACTTTACAACACACACAGGGACCATGGGGAACAGACGTAGCCCCCCTCCAGAAGGAAGGACAGTGTCAGAGATGATTGGAGGATCTACAGCCGAGTGATACACAAATAAGATACATTGTTGTTCATAGATAAGGTACCTGCATGTATTTTTAAGATTTATCTAAGTTTAGTGTCACTTTAAGGTTCAAAAAGCTGTGCGCTCAGAAAATCTATTGGATATATCAATACAAGCTAGAGGAACTTTGCGTTCTTTAGAATTGCTATGGCTTATACTGATGTCGATTTAGTATTTCCCTCATCCATACGTCGGCCTTTTCCAAGTTATTTATTTTGGTGTTTTTTGTTATTATATATTTTTAATATCTGGCTCATCAATTTCTAGTGTGTGCTCTCTGATGCCACTTAGTGGCCATTTATAGGTAACGCAAGGGGGCTTCATGATGTGTATGTTGCTTGGTGGTCATTGTGACCGCCTGGAGTGGCGAGATTTCGTTTTTTATCTAATTACTGAGCCACAGTTTGCAATCACTTGGTGGATTAGAGGAGGGAGACACGATTGTGCTTTATGTTCATTCGGGAATACTCTGGTTGATGAAATATCAAATATATTTTTGTGTATGATACACGGAAGAAGCAACTTCAATAGCCTGTGCTGACACAAGGTGCTCCAGAGCAGGCGTAGCCAAACTCTGGCCCTACAGCTGTGGTGACACTACAAATCCCATGATGCATCTCTCTCCGGGAGTCGTGTCTGACGCTGTGAGAATCTTGCAATGCCTCATGGGATTTGTAGTTCCACCACAGCTGGAGGACCAGAGTTTGGCTACCCCTGCTCCAGAGGACTGATTGTTTTTACAAAACCCCCAGAATTCCATTTTGGGGAAATCATATTAAAGGAACTGGTGGCTACATTATAGAAACATGTACAACTGGACCTGCTTATATATGAATGTACTTACCTGTAATCAAGAAGACATGCTGAGCCCTGCAGGATATTCGGGTGTTTTGTAAATGTTTTTCGGGAGGTGTTGTTGCATCAATTGGTTGTCAATGTGTGAACTGATTAAATGGATTTAATAAACAGTGTAATGTTAGGGGAATCCAGCAGGATCGCAGGACACAGGCTTTGCAAATAAAGTAAAGTTTATTAACTGAAATAGCTTCACAGCAGCAACATAACAACACAGGTCATCTTCACTGACCAGCTGGCCAACTCAAACAGCAACTCTTCAGTACAACACAAAAGAACAGTCTCACCGACATGAAGATTTCAGAGCTGCAATCGCAGTTTAAACAGTCCCAGACTTCCAGGGTAACTTTCCCAGTCTACAGATTTCAAGCAAGATTAATGACATTCAGGCTCACAGCAGTACACCGATCCCCACTCTCCAACCTCCTCCACACTACTCCTCACCTGCTAGCTACCACTTCCTGTCTTTTAAACCCACTCTTCCTCCAGCAGGTGAGTTAACCCCGTCTCATCCTTTAAAAGGGACCACAGTCCAAACAGAGGGGAAATATAGCGTCCTTCCAGGACCCAGCCGCGGTGTCCTGTACAACAGCAATTGGTTGTTTATTGTATCATATTGTGCATTGTGTGCGTTTATATGTCCTGTGTTCCAGCTTTCTCAGGAGAAGGAGATGTTACAATAGTAAAAACCTGCAGACAGCTTTGCATTATACATAGCATTCGTCACCTGGGTTGGTTAACTCCGCAGTTAACCCTTTACACACCAAACGTGCGCTGCCACCATGTATTTTTCGGAACACAAACCGCGCCCAGCAAACGCTGCGACTGTTTAAACACTTAAACAATGCCTGTGATGCCGCTGTCCTCTCAGACAGGAATATGACAGGAGTCACTATACAGTAGCGCTCTTCAGAGACAAGGACACTGTAAGTTCGTATTTAGAGCGCAGAGATAAGCTTAACGATTTTTAATATCGTCCTTTAATAAAAGAAACGGTGCAGAAAATATACAGAAAAAGATTTAATAAAAAGAGACAAAATATATATACAGCAGCAAAATAAAAGGGAATAAAAGAAGAATACTGAACAGTCCTGGAATTGTGAGTTCTGACAGAGTTCAGAGTTCGAGAAGCAAAGTGGAAGTCTGCCGGGCTCTCCTTCAAGCCGACTTCCAGCAGATAATGTCCAAAGATTAAAGGGGAACTCTTCTGCGATGTTCAGACTTCTAGTTCCTCGATGATGTTTAAAACAAGAGCCACTCTAGTTGCCAACACAGAGTATTTTATAAGCCCCTTTTGGAGGTTGTCCCGGAGTCAGCCCCTAGGCAGGGGTGGGCGGGCAAACGGGCGGAGGATGAACCTTTAGTTTACCTATCACCGCCCAAATTCCAAAATATAAAAAATGTAGCTTCATTTTCAACCTCAGGTTTTATGACTTATAGAGAGAATGCGGGGGTCACCTGGGTCACCCCCTCTCCAGACCTGATGGTTGATATAAGATGTCCACTCGTAATATATGAATGTGTGGTGCCATGCCTTTAATTAACGACCGCCAGACCTCACTCTGGGCACTAAAAGATCCTGGCCAGAGAGCAATCTCTTTGTGGAATGTGGAATGTGGTGGGGGCCGGTCACCTCACTAAATGAAGAC